TAATAAATATCATTGTTTCGTGAAATCCGAGCAGTTTCTAGAACCAGCTGGGCGAATATTAGCGTTTTTGAGGGACTGTTTTATCTAGAGTTAATTCATATTTTGAATTAATACGAGTTCAGGAGGCTTAGAACTGTTTCTCAAGTCATCTCCTAGAAATCTTTACGCAATCCTCGTAAATATTTGTTTAAACACAAGCCAATGCCACTTCTTAATACAGCATTATTCCTCCACAAACAAATGTACTGACTGTAGCCACATATTTTGTGGCATAGATCGTTTATTATTCCTCCACAACAAATGTACTGACTGCAGCCACATATTTTGTGGCATAGATCGTTACTTCATTTAGACGACAAGGAGTTGTATCGAGGTCAAGAGCGTACAGCCACACAGAGGTCAGTTTCACGCAGATCGCTTTGCCAATTAATTATTCGCAATATATCTGTTACACTTGTTCACTGATCGTCACAAGGTTCTGAAACAGTTCGGCCAGCTGTCGGCTAGGTTCCTCTAGAATCGAAATGTCTGTAACAGGATTTTACTTTGAGGACATAACTTAAACTGCAGGAAAATAATCGACTCCACCGTACTTCCCTGAATATGAGCGAGGACGTTTGAATACTATTCCCTCCATCTCCGCTTTACTACTGTCAGAGCTTTATGCCTGTATGTGTGTCGCAAGGATCTCCGAGCTTCGTTGACCGTTACAAAATGCAAACGTTTGCGGCCAGCCTACCTGCCACGGTATGGGGAAGGCGGGGAAGCGAGGCGTCTTTCTCCCCACTGCCCTTTCCCCTCTTACTATGACGTATCTCAGGTTCGTAGATATTTTGCGTCCACCATTAATATTCAAATCAAAACTGTAGGTTCTCGCAGTCATGAGTAAGAAGTCTCCTGGGAAGTTGCGCCGTGTAGTGTAGTAGATGTTCACCGACGTTTCAGAGGAGCTTACTGTCACCGTCATCACGGTGATGATTGAGGTAGTTTATCATTGGTCCGGGGAAAAATGTTGACCACTGCTGTAAGATCTATGTTGCTGGTAACCTCTCACCTCTCCTCACATTCCCAAGTGGTCTCTTCCATTGCAGTTTATAAACTAAAATTATTTATATAGTTCTTACCCTCCCATCCGTGCATGCTGTACGTCCCTAAAATTTATCTTTGATTTAATTACCCTAATGATATTGAATGAAAAAATACATATTGTGAAGCGTCCATTTATGTAAATTTAGTGTAATTTTTGTCATATAATAATAATTATTATTATTGTATCTAGAAATTTTATTATAATGGTAACAATCATAGTAATTACATTATTCTCAGCACACTTTCTGTGAATATTTGAATATCCATCGCATTTACGAAGACTGAATTTCGCTGCCGAGTGTCTACTACTCGGTTTTCGCATTTTGGGGGTACCGGGTGTGTATCTTAGACCAAAGACCCGGTATTCTGAGCGAGGTTTCTCATTTTCCTTAGTCCGCTCTGACAAATGCCACGACAGTATCTTAAATGAGCCAGAGACCACTTCTTTCCATATTTTTCTAGAAGTTTGTGATTCATAAGTCGTCCTATTCTAAGCTTTGTTGTCGTTAAGTAAACCACAAAGAGATAAAATATTTGGGCAGGCAGACCAAAACTTACGAGAGAAACTTGTTTTGCCATGGCAGTCTTACACCCTCTTAACGGTTTCTTCTTGTTCCTATATTTACATGTCTCGCAATTTTACCGTGTCATTAGATCGCACTGTTCTTACTGGATTTCATCTGAAGAGATGGGTATTTTGATGACGTCATATGGTCATGTTTCATGGGGGATTTCCCTTCATAGTCGGGAACGTAACTATGCCAGCACAAGTGCAGTGCAATAACCTGACTGACAACGTCTCCTTATTCATTTATACAGTAGATTCCGTAGTATATTTCTGTAAGTCGTTGAACCAGTACTTTGGAAAAATGACATACAATTGAAATTAGGGGCTTCAGTAGTCTCAGAAATGAAGGATCATTTAAGCCGGAAGTAAGGAAATTTAATCTAGGTTTAATGGATGTAGAGTAGGTCAGATGGGCCAGAGGTGTCATTCAGCAATGATTAGCCATTGTTCAATGGAAATGAAAATACTAATTTACCAGGTCTTCTGGGTCGTGATGCCATCCAGTCCTGTAGGTAGTTATCAACGTTCATCCGAAACGTCAGTAATCAGCAACAAGACTACTGACGTCACAACCAAAAAGACCACAATCAACACATTTGCACTCTGAAGTAACAAGAGATGGAGAAAATTGCATAGTAAGACACTTCATAATTTGGAAATGCTATTACGGTCGTCACACCATGGGGGTTGAGAGAGTCTAGGTGGGGCACACTGAGTAAATGAGAAGGAGATGAAAAGTGCACAGGCCTGGATTATTTAAGTCGACAAACTTGAAAAGAAGAGACCACATGGAAGGCTTAGGCCAGAAATTGTCTGAAATAGTGTGTAATCTTGTGGATTGGATTCATTTGGCTCATGAGTGCTCTAGCGTCATCAAACCTAACTCGGGCTGATCACGCACGTGTTAGTTAAACACTTGAATAAAAATTTGATATCTCTGCAGCGATATAATTAGATGTTTTTGCCTCGGATAATAGTGGTGCAAAGGACGGCACAAACATTTTTACCGCTGGCTATAGCGACATTGACCTGTATGCAATGTACCAGTCGACATTCACCTTAATAAGTGCAACATTGAGTCGACCCGACCGTCAAACCACCCCAATAGGAATACAAATGCTAGTTAAGACCTGAATTGTTTTAATGACTTAATTCTCCTTTGTAACTTTTTAGAACATAATGGCGGAGTCTGTTGACTTAAATGATAATTATATCTATGTAATTGTGTTATTCAAGGAAAATATGAAAATTTCCCTTGCAATTCTCGAAGCACCACACCACGCAGACATGTGGGAATGGAGGAATAACTCCACTCATTCTTAACCTGTTAGAGTCGCCACACGGGAATTTAACCCGCGTAAGGAACCCCGGTACGTGCTGGATAGTGATCTGGGCTTTTATTCATTGTGAGCAGAGAATAATGAATTTGGAAGGTGTGGAAGGAAGCGGTCGTGACCTCATTTAACGTAACTAACCCGTCATTTATCTGGAGCGACTGAGGAGAAAAATAACGCCAGTTAGGATAAAATTCGTACGCTGGACCTCTCGAACCAAGAGTATCACGTTGGACCGTAACGTTCTGAGATAATTATTATTATTCTAAATATATTAATATGGTATTGTCACAGCAGGAAGGCAGGTATTAACGTTGTTTGTATTGATAACGATGATCCATAGGTATTCCGCCATAGCATTCCACAAAGAAGGCTCTCGGCTTTAACTGGTACTTTGTAGTAGAAATCAACACCGCTAACGTGATAGCAAAGTCCTCCATGGGACACAAACCTGCTCCAGTTTCATATACTTTCGACCTTAACATCACATCTCATTGTCGATATTCCATATGTTTCTCCACCAAAATTTTTCATGTATTCTTTGTCTCCCCATCACGTGGTGGAAGCGTATAGGAGCGTGGATGTAAAATTCCACTTATTCTCAACCGTGTGATTTTGGGTTTAGTGGGGGGAGGGGAGGGGAGGGGAGGGGGAGAGGCTTAGTATTAATGCATTTTAATTTTCTATATTTAGTGAAAGAATATTACCGTAAACCACAGAAATATGTATTAGAATTGTCATTGCCAACATTGATTCTACCAGGCAACTCTTGAAGACAAAGATGAACTGATAATCACATCACAACGAATACGTCTTTGTTACAGTATTCAGATGTAACTTACACAACGTCCAGCCTATACGTACAGCGTGGTATTTGTAATTGAGTCATATAAAAGGTCAAGGAGATGATTTATGCTGAATGACGTCAATTTAAACAGGATATTGGTACACTGGATTTTCTAGGATTCAGGAAGAAGCATAGCAGGTTAATATCTGACAATACATCTATATTTAAATTTATGAAAACTATTAAAACCCTTCTCATATCGAAGTAGGGCTGTACCAATATATAGGGCCAGTTATCTAAAATCTTGGATTCAGGTCTGAGGTTCCACGGCAGTGAGAATGATGATGTTCTTATGGCTTTGTCGCCTTGTAGGCTTGGCAGCATTTCGGAGAAACATACTGTCTACATCTTCAGGGCTGAAGTGGCGGTGGTGGGAAGTAGGGGGATTTATGTAGGGTATGAGGGAGGGAAGGCTGAGCCTTGTCTTGTGGCGTGGAACAGCTGTCAGCAGTGAAATGTGGTTTATAACTTTTTCTTTTCTTTTTCTCGTTCACGATCTAGGAATTTTAACGCTTGTACGGACCTCAAAATCCCGTTTCTAGCGTCTCCTTGATTGCCTCTTACTCATATGTCCCGTAGTTTTAGAAATTCTTATAAAGTTTATAAACCCAGAACTTAACCACAGACAGCAGCTCAAGGTGTGTGTAGCAGGCAAACTTTACGGGCTTCGAAATGATGGTCTGTTTGGATAGTGATACCTGATGGCCGAAACGCTCCATTGAATGCAAGATCCAGTTCACGACTTGTGTGATATTCATCCCACTTCACGAAGTTTCATTATCATCACAATAAATTAACAATGATTTTTAACCCTACGTTTGTGATTGGAGCGTGTGAAAACTAGATTAAATAACATTTAATAGTTATCCAGTATAGCAATAATTATTAGTCAGAGGACAGTGTACTAATGGGTGGGAGGTTCATAGGATGGCTCCAAGTGTTGACAACCGAAGAGTCTGAAATAGCATCAGCCATGGAAGGGAGCGGCGTTTGAGACCCAACGTGACACATTTTATTTTTATATAATCAGAAAATTTGTGGAACGTTGGACAAAATACATTAAAAAGCTGGCTGATTACATAGAGGAATAAAATGTTCGACTACTGTGTGTGTGTCATCTTGTCAAAACCTATAATGATGTGACCTTTTAATTTGTACTTACCTTCAATTTTTTGTTACAAATATGACCTTGTCTCTTCCATGGTCGCTGTAACGCCGTATGGACTTGTAGGCCGGTAGCAGCGTTTCGGAGGAATGTGCTGCCTCCTTCAGGGCTGAAGACGGAGGCAGAATGTTTCTTCGAAGCGTGTGCATCTACCTGTATATGTCCACGCGGTGTCACAATCCAGAAGACCAACATCGACTTCTTCACCTTCGTGAGGACCTCAATCTAAAGTGAGATAATGAAATCCTGTTTAGAAGTAGCTGTTCCAGAAATTATGAAAATGTTTAGCAACAGAATGGCGGGAATTGCAGATTTTTATTTATCTTTTAGTGTGACTGTAGTTACAGCTTTCACTCCTTTATGAAAAACGTTTAAAATTAGCGTCGATTTCGTAAAGCGAAGTACATATTAGCAGCCAGCTCACTTATGTCATCGCCTGTTACACTATTCGACAGCCAAAAAGTGTTGCAGAACTTAGCTAAGCCATAAAACATTTCTCTTTTCTGGGCTTCATCTCCGCTTCCCTGACCCATTTGCTCCCGCCAGACAAGAGCTGAAAGTTCTGAGTTCAATCACCGGTCAAGGACAAGGTCTCTTCCAAATTGTCTTCTAAAGTTTCTGTAACACTTGAGGTATCTGACTGTGTACTCAAAGGGCCACTTATTTTGCCGAGGCGTACAAAGTGTTAGGCCGTGAACGTTCACTGGAGCTCTCTCAACACGATGTTCAGTAAACTGGCATGTATTTTGTAAAATTTCTATCACTTGTTATTTATTTGTGGCGTATTCAACGACGTTTTTAGAAACTTCGACTATATGGGGCAAAATGACAACGATTAATGAAAGATTAGAAAGAATATGGAAGGAAGTGGCCGTGGCTTAATTTAAGGCACTGCTCCGGCTTAATCGTCTCGCTGAAATATATGAGGATATTTTAATTTTGTTTCGTGTTTGTACTGTATAATAATTTGTTCAAAATGAAGCTTACACTGAACTTTATAGGCTTTTTAAAAAACTGTACAGTGTATAAGAACATTGGAATAAGACAAAGTACAGATCTAATTAAGGTCTGAAACTTTTGTTTTATATCGTTTAAATTAATTACGATGTAGTAAGCGTTTATTGAATTACGTACAAAGATATTCTCTGGCTGTGCAGCGAAATTTTCTTTCTAGCAATTGAATAATGAGTCATTTGTAATTAATGGGCTTCGAGACGAATGAGATATTCCTAAAACAGCATAGAAAGAATTCGGAAAAAGCCGTACTCCATAGGAATATACCGTTCCACGCGTGTTGTTCACTACAACGAAAACAGGACATACTAAAATGTTTTTGAAACCTTTTGTTGCGCAGGAAACTGGAAACCCTTGTGAATTCAATTTCTCGCCTTAATTGCTGTACCATTGTGTTGTTACATAAGGCTCTAGCGTGGCTGATACTAGGAATCACAAGAACAAACACAATAGAAACTATTCAGATAGGTTTCGCTCGAGGTAACTTGTAAATTACTTGCTGTAGCTCAGACACAGCACATCGTTCAAGGTTAGCTGTCGGTCCGGAGTTCGGGGCCTGAACAGTGCATTTATCTCGCAGTAACATCTTCCACTGCATGATCGACGTATAACCGTGTATAAGCCACAAGCCAAAATCATTTCTTCTGGGTTGTACCACTGTGTAGTCCGTTAGAGGGTTACTGACGTTTCAGATGTGCCTGCTGCTTCCATCAAGGCATTGATGAAATAAATTCCAGTCTTTCATTGAAGAGGTGGAGTGTACTTTACTGTGATCGATTCGCGTGGTTTAGTGACAAGATTAATGTTTGATGCGTTCACCTCGGATCGTCGAGGAAAATCGTGCAGCTCCTTTACGCTTACTACAGGCACTGAAATTAAATAACTGGATAATCTAGTTTGCATGTTTCACTTGGATGTTTCATTCAGTGTAGAACTTATATCAAATATTCCGTATATTAACCTCTTATTGCAATCAACATTAGAGTCTGACATGCAACTTAAATTTAGTTTGAATTTGTAAAATGTCTTAAAGTACATGCTTGTTGTTTAAAGTGTTAGGACAATCGTCGTTATTTCGATTGCGAATCGTTTTAATTTTTATAGCGTCGGATAAATCTGTAGCCTGATACTAAATATGCTCTAAAATGATATAATATTAAGTAATAAAAAATAATAGTATTCAGACATTCTAGCGCACTACATTATGAATTAATTAATATTAATTAATTAATATGTTTCATGTCTCTGTAAAGTCAAGGAGTTAGAAAGCAGGTTGGCCAGGAAATTGTTGGAACTGAGAAGCAGGGAGTCTTAAGCGACCCCTACACGGTCAATATTATTGTGCAATATTCAGTTTTGTACAATAATATTGATCGTCTATGTTACGAATTGAAAGGTTGTGCAATATATTGTGTCAATCAAAAATGGTTTGATATTTATTGCAC